CATACATACATACCCAATACACACACAAACGAATGCTACGAAAAGATAACTTGGCAAAGGTAAAATCACCTTTTGGCTGCAGCCCCAGCAGTTGTACATTAAGATATCTGCAGACTGGACCATCAGAACTAGCTGAAGTTGGCATGCTGCCCTCACCCCGAACTATGGCCATATGTAGTGTGGCATCTTTCAGCTAGAGGAAGAAAAACATCACAATCAAACATGATAATTATTTGTCAGAAGCAGTTTCTTCCCCTTTTATCCACTGCAGACTTTAATTATCATTATATGTATCCCACTTCAGGCAACTTGGTAATGTACATGTAGTACCAGGTATACGGGTGGGTTTTTGTTGTTGCTACAAAGTTTTTACAAAATGTCGCCAGGTCTAGTCTGTAACAATGAAGTCATCCCCGTTGCCCTGGCAGACACCTCCACCAAAACAATTCCTAAGCCAGCTCCCTTAGCTTAAGAGGCCAAGTCTGGCTTCTTATCTAAAGGAAAACAGATAGAGAGCTGTATTGATCTGTGTCTTCTCAACTTAACTCATCAGGAGTTTTAGTGAGAGCAGTCGGAGATGTTTGTACATTGTGGATCTGAAGCACTGTGAGCTTCTTTTCTGACAGATCTTACCTTAGTTGACTCCTTAATGATGACATGACTTGAGACAGGGACAGGGAAAGGCTGGAGGTGTTTCTTGAGTGTGTCTTGGATGAAGCCATGGTGTGTGTTTATGACACTGGCTAGGTTGTCAGATGCTGGGCTCACATCATAGTACACAGTGATGTCATCTGTGGGAACCAAACTAGCCTGGGGAGGGGGAACAGGGAAACATGAAAGTTCCTCCTTTTAAGCTTTTTAACAGAAATACCTCTGCTGTTCTAAAATTTATTGCCATGGAACCCAAGCCTATACAGTACCACTTTTGTCTGTCATGGAAAGCTATACCTGCATCACAAATCAAGATGTTACATGGAACTACTGGAATAATAGAATTTCTTGATATAATGTAAAGTTAGTCCTATTTTGCATAATTTGGATATGTTGTTTATACATGTAACGTTAATATAATAAATCCTTGGCTCATATTTTTTACTTATCCTCTTAGTCTGGTTACCAAACTTATTTTAGCTGCTGAATCTCTCTAGTCCTCTCTGCAAATAAGTGGAGAGTAGTAAACAGAAAACAGAAATAAAGTATTTCAAGCTCCTCTACTTAAACTGATGACAGCAACATCATTACAAGCAAGCTAATTAAGGTTCAGAGCTCTCATTATTGAGCTGGAATTCATGATCAAATTCTCAATCTTCCACTCTAAAGTGATTGTGAACCATTGTCAGCATGGCACTACAATGGACAAGTGAACAGGACAGAACAGGTAAGATGTTCATACCTTCTTTCTAAGCTTCTGGATACGGTTGATGACCTCCCTTGCCACCCCTTCATCCAACATGGACTGATCTGGGGTCACATCCAGCAAGACCAGAACCTGTGAGACAGGATTACAGCACAGCTAAGGCCTCGTTCATCATTCAAAATGTGCTTGGGTTTGATTAAAGCATGCAAATAAATCAAATTATTTGGGAACATGAACTCTTCATTTCATTTATGTTATGAAGAAGGAAACATATTGTTTTTGCTCAGTTTCCTCTTCTTCTCCAAACATATAAAAACATTCTTCAGAACTAGAGCTTAGGAAAACTCGAAATTCAGCAAGCTGGTAGATGGGATGTAAAAAATTATTTTATTGGGGAAAAACGGGTGTTGAACATGTTTTGAACTTTGGAATCACGTTCGAAATTGGGACAGCCGCAGGTCAATGACCACGTCGCTTTAAGTTGGAACACAGCCCATGGGCACCTAGTGGGGGTGTTTAAAGAAAACCTTTCTTTGCTTAAGACTGAAATTCTTGATACAAAAAAATTATTTCAGATTATTCATTAATAGATTCTTACACCAAGACTCTATTACTACCGGGTATTCCTGTTAGGCACTATTGTCCTACCTGGTTGTCAGAATGTGCCTCATAGTCAGAGAGTGACGCTCCACTCTTGGCATCAAACTTGTACACCAGCTTGAGGTCATCTCCTGACAGGGTGTGACCTTCAACATTGACTTCTCCCCTGTCTTGGAAATCCTGTCCAACAGAAACACAATCAGAAATGGCAGACAGTTGATGAGCCTGTACATTTTTTAACACAATAAGAAAACCGTTGGATCACGACTTCCCTTAAAACCTTGGCTTCACTCTATTATTTATCCGCACCCAGAGCTAGAGTCTGAAATTTTCCTACAAAGACCCCCCCTCATAATGTAGAATGCTTGTGTTGATGTTCCTCTCCCCAGCAAAGGTGAACTTCTTATGCATTCCTTGGTAATAGACCCATCCCGAAGCCACGCCCCCCTTAGCAACGCCCTAGCAACTCAAACACCTCGGGCAAAACTGCATCATCACCGCTACCCACAGCTGCAAGCCCAGAAAAAAAAAACGAAATTAGAATAAAACAGCTCGGGTGCTCACGAGGGAGGGCGCAACTTATAAAGGGCTTTGTGATACTAGTAGAAGCCCTGGGCAGGTCGCTTAATGCTTGCGTCAATGGGGAAAATTTTTGGGACCGAGAAAAAGCGGTCACGATGGCCAGGTGGTCGGTCGCCTGGGCAGGTTTGACTGTACAAGTTTAAGCTCCAAGTGAAGTAAAAGCAGGATAACCTGTTCTTCTGAACTTGACAAGGTCGGACACCACGATGTCGACCTTGTCCATGATGATGAGGAAGTTGTAATGTTTCCCATCATAGGCAATGCTCACTGGCAGTGGATGTGAACCCTCACCCTCATGTTATAAAAATAGACTGGTACAAACTCATTTTATCAATGAAGACAACAGCTGCACAAGGCGTAATGTCTATCCTGAGTAATATGGTATGATAGGAATGTGGTAACTGATCATATGAGGGCATATTTTTCCTTAGTTGTATCTTGTACTCAAAGAACTGAATAAACAGAAAGAATAACTGGCCAAATGAAGCCACATTCGGGTAAGCCTTGTTACCGCTATATGTATTATCCCCTTCACACTAGAGGCAGTTACATGTATGTCATCTGAGTAAAAATTTCTTCTATACTCCTGGCTATTCAAAGAAGAAAACACCGCCGCCACGTTGAGCACAAGGAAGACACTGAAGATACCTTTGCCGTGAGCCAGTGCGCCACCACATCGCTGCCCACCACTACCAAGAAAAGGAGAACCCTGAGATTTCTACGTGTTGTTCAAGCCCCACAAGTTGCTGAGAAGCCAGAGCTACAAGCCAGAGCAAGAAAAACAGCCAGGGGAGAAGACTACACTTCGAAGAAGATGGATTTCTCTTTATTTTTTGTTTTGTGTAACATGGTAAAAAAGACCTTTATGACATGTATAATTGTTCTAGAACAATAGATGACGTCATGTAGTAGGTCAACCAAGGTCAAAACGCACTATGTAACAGGTCAGGGCATAATTCTGAACGCCATGTAACTGACCTGAGGGCACTATGCACTGGAAAGGTATAAGTGAGAACTTCATGCACTTGTGTCATTAGCCTCTGTACACTTGAAGAAGCCACACAGGCGAAACCGGTCGTGTGACAGGCTGAATAAAAGTTAAAAAGCTAAACGGGAACTATGCGGCTCCAGATGTCTTACTGAGGGACGACTGCGTGTGCAAGATGTCGGCAGCTTGAGGAATGAATCCCCTCTACTATATACTCCTGGCTATTCAAAGTTCATTCTTCAACAAGAATTCGTAGACCTCCATGAATATGTAGAGTGTTTATGTATTTAAATGTTTACTTTCATTTGTCTCATTGATTATGGAAATATGGTCGTAATTACCACAATCTATTTTAATTTATTGTTTTCTAAACTCAAATTACAATATTTTGCATGCGTAATTCCTATATCCTTTGCCAATGTTTAATTTCAACATATCAATTATGCAAATGACCTCTAAAATAACATGTACAGTGATGATAACCTTTAAGTAACTTACACGTGTCACATTATAAAATTCCACTCATTCCCCATTAAGGAATCATAGAGTTTTCACAATAATTATGCAAATCAGGTTCTGCTGCAGTACCAAGGTCATCCACCAGGAGGCCCATATTTGACATTGACCTTTGTCTTCCTAAGACTTATCAGCATGCCAAATATCATCACAATCCACAAAGGCATTATGAAGTTATGCTGACTACAAACGTGCGGAAACACAGACACACACACACACACACACACACACACAGACACGCCAAAAACAATACAAAAATAATTATGAAAATATGTCATTCCATTGTGGACTTACAATGTATCTGCTCTGAAAGATTTCGTCAGAAACTCTATGCAGTGAGAATAAGCTAAATAGATATACATGTATCTGCCACCAAAACAAGAGTTCCCAGATCTCATACCTCCATGAAATATGGGCTTCATATGTAAAAGTTCTTCTTTAATTATGCAAATGACCTCTGCATTAAGATAATATATGCATCGTGATGTTAACTTTTGATTAACTACATTGTACAGATGTCCCAAGTATGACATTCCCATCATTCACCAGTAAGAAATCATAGAATTTTCGCATTAATTATGCAAATTAGGTCATCATTTGCATAATTAGTATCTGTTGATTTTCCATCTGCCATAGGTTACATACATTACATGTATGAAAGTACTATAATGTAAAACACTGTAATTATAGAATTTCCTCATTAATTATGCAAATTAAGTCCTCATTTGCATAATTTGCATTTAATGATGAACATCTCTCTCAGCTACCTACCTACCTACCAAAAATTATGAAAGTATGTTGTTCCTATCTGGACTTATTGGCTTTCAAAGATTTAGCCCGAAAGTCCCCTGCAGTTCCAGAACAAGCTGCTAGGGGGACCAAACTCACACCACTTATTCCTGACAAAAAAAGCTACTGTAACCAAAAAGTCAAGATCATAGCATGTTCAGAACAAAAGATACAAAAACCGGAAGTTCTGCTGCAGTACCAAGGTCATCCACCAGGAGGCCCATATTTGACCACTCTCCTGAAAAGGTCTAGACCCATCGGCCGGGTCAGTTGCTAGTGCCTATAAACGCCCCACTGTTACAACTGCACATTGTACATGTATGTTAGTTAGCACCCGTGAGCAGTTTTACCTGCAGTTGTTGATCAGTCAGTTCTCTGACAGCCTTCTGTACAGACTTGTAGGCCTGTTTGAGTCGTGCTCCCAGCACACGATGGTCTGGTTCAGCCACCAGCTTTACACAGTACTTCTGTTTGTCACTGGACGTGGTCAGGGTACGCACATTCAGTTCCTAATGAAGCAAGATGGCAAAATTAAAAAAACATTATACAGTTGTACATTAATTTTGTACTTACTCATATTGGCACAAAACACATTGTGAAGTGAACTTTCCAATAATAATATATTTTTGATAGAATTTTGTTCCAATTTTGTACCAGGAGACTTCCTATGTTTACCAACGAGGAACTCAATACAATCACAGTTTCTGTGGAGGAAGTCCAAGAAGCCCTACAGGCACTCCATCCCAATAAGGCCCCTGGTCCTGATGGGATATCTAACCGACTCCTTAAGGAGGCAGCACCAGTCATCTGTACCTCCTTATGCGATCTGTTCAATCTTTCACTCTCAACAGGCCAACTACCTGCAGAGTGGAAGCAGTGTAACGTCTCTCCTGTATACAAGAAGGGGGACCGCACTGACCCCTCCAACTACAGGCCCATTGCTCTACTACCAGCTGTTCCCAAGGTCCCGGAGAGACTGGTTCACAATCGTCTCTATACTTACCTCGCGAACAACGATCTGTTCAACATCAACCAGTCAGGGTTCAAGAAAGGGGATGGAACAGTGCTGCAGCTTTTGCATCTCGTAGACGAATGGGCCAAGTCCATAGATGACCCCAACACCTCCTGTTCAGCTGCTGTCTTTCTGGATGTCCGTCGAGCATTCGACACCGTCTGGCATGATGGCCTCATCTATAAACTGTCCCGTTATGGGGTCAAGGGGCCCCTGAACAACTGGTTTGCGGACTATCTTGCCGGACGACAGCAACGTGTTGTGATCAATGGCGTTCTTCTTCTTCTTAGTGGATTGGCGGCCAACATCAACGTACTGATGGCTTTGCCGCACTTGGTTGGTTGGTGAGGTCAGAGGTCACGGTAGCATGTTGATGTTTTTCAAAGTAATGTGTCAAAAGTTGTCAGCTACTGCAAGCTATCCAGCTTGTTCTTAAAGGAGTCTAAGGATTTGGCAGACACGACTTCCGCAGGCAGGGAGTTCCACTCAGCTACAGTTCGTGGAAAGAAGGACATCTGCCTGTGTGTTGTTCTGCAAAGGCGCATGTCGTAGGTCAGGGGGTGTGACCGTCTTGTCTGTCGTTTGTGTTGACTGACAGTGGGCAGGTTACGGGAGTCAACAGTGATCATTCCGTGGTGCAACTTGTAGAATGTTGTTAACCTTGCTTTTCTCCGTCTCTGCTGTAGTGTTTCCCACTCAAGGTCCTCCAGCATACTCTCGACGCTTGATGTTTGACGGTAGCGACTACACACCCAGCGTGCAGCTCGTCTTTGTACTTTCTCTAGGGTAGCTATGTCCTTGTTGCTGTGTGGATCCCACACTGAGCTAGCATACTCGAGTGAGGATCTCACCAACGCTCTGTAAGCTGCCTCTTTGATGGATTTGCTGTTGATCTTAATATTACGTCTAACAAATCCAAGGGATCTGTTGGCTCTACTTGAGATATTTGAGATGTGCAGGCTCCATTTCAGGTCCTTAGTGAGAGTGACTCCAAGGTATTTCACATTTGGTTCTGTCTGAAGCTTATGACCATGGAGCTCATAGCCGTCTAGGTTTCTTCTTCCGGTCATGTGAACTATTGAGCATTTTTGAGGTGAAGGCTCATTTTCCATCGTCCTCCCATTCTGCAAGCTTATTTAGGTCCTCCTGTAGGCGGACCTGATCATGTGTAGCTTGATGGTGTCGTGACACGCTGTATCATCGGCAAACAGCCTTGATACTGAAGACAGTCCTACTGGTAAGTCGTTTATGAACAGTAGAAACAAGGAGGGACCGAGAACAGATCCCTGGGGGACTCCTGATTCTACTGAAACATACTCTGATCTTGAGCCATTTACAACTACAGCCTGCTTTCTGTCAGCCAAGAACTCACTGATCCATGTATTGACTTTACCGTCAATGCCGTTACGGTAGTACTTCAGCTTATGTACTAGCAAACTGTGACTAACTTTATCGAAAGCCTTAGAAAAATCTAAGACCAGCAAGTCTTCCTGGTGGCCGTCTTCAAGGGTATGTGAGATCTCATCGGCCAGGCCAAGGAGCTGGGTCTCGCATGACCTCCCTTTTCGAAATCCGTGTTGTTGTGTGCACAGGATCTGCTGTTCTTCACAGAAGGACATGATTTCACTTACAAGGATATGTTCAAGCAGTTTACATGGAATACTAGTCAATGATATTGGTCTATAGTTCTCTGCTTTGTAACGTTCACCCTTTTTGAATACTGGGCATACATGGGCGCACTTCCAGTCATTTGGAACAACTCCTTTGTCAAGGGAAATCTGGTATAAGAAAGCAAGTAGCTGTGCTATCTCTGTGGCTACCTCTCTCAATATGCGGGGACTAAGTTGGTCCGGCCCACTTGCCTTGCTAGGATCTAAGTTACGAAGGAGTTTTTCGACACCAGCAGTCGTGATTATGATGTCCTCTAGAGTAGGTTGTTCTGGGTTTCGAGGGGGCATCTGGGTTCTAAGCTTAAATTCCTCCTCGCTGAAGTCTTCTCTAGCACTTAAGGCCGACTGGAATTGGCTGTTTAAGATCTCCGCCCTCTCTTTATCGTCTGTAATAAGCTTTCCTGCTACCTTGAGTGGAGAGACTCCCGAGTTCTCATTCCTCTTTTGATTTTGACAAAAGCCCAGAATTTCTTTGTTGGTTTAGGTTTCTCTATGCAGTCCTCCGTAATCAAGCCTTGTACATGATCCCAGTATTCCCGCCTGAGCTGCTGCTGGACTTGACGTTTAAGTGATTTAAATGCTTGAAACAAATCCTGTCTTTTGGTTTTCTTGTACTTTTTGTGGATTCTGTCTCTTCTCCTTATAAGTTTCCGGGTTTTGTTGCTTATCCATGGTTGACTGCCCCTAGCACGAACCTTCTTGAGTGGGATGTACTTCTGTACTCTTTCTAGCATTCCTGTCTTAAAGTCCATCCAGATGGCCTCAACATCTGGTTTATCTGTATGACAACCCAGAACCGACTCAGTAAGTTCTTTTGATGCCTTCCTCAGGCCTTCCCAGTCAGCTTTTTTGAACCACAAGACCTGGCGTTCTTTTTGGCGGATACAGGGGTTGGTAATCTGGAGTTCGGCGTATGGTATGTCATGGTCGGATAGGCCAGGTACTATCTCCACACGAGGGAACAACGAGGGGTGATTTGTCACAATAATATCCAGAGTGTTTTCTCCTCTTGTGGGTTTTTCTACTATTTGTTCCATCCCTAGGTCACTGATAATATCCATGAACTGCCGATGGATATTTGGGTAAGATGATCCAGGCTTCAACACATTCTCCTCCCAGTTCCAGTCAGGAAGATTAAAGTCTCCACCTAGAACGACGATGGCATTGCTGGATTGACAGGCCAGTCTTGCTGACTCTGCCATCTCTCTCAGACTATCCTCAAGGCCCTCATGTGGCCGATAGTAGCTACCAATCAGCAAGTCCCTTTTTCCTCTGAGCTTCACTTTTGCCCACACAATCTCACAGTTTCTGTCGAGACTGGTCTCCATTGTAGCATCCAGAAGATCTGACAAAGCAACGAGAACGCCCCCGCCATACTTGTTTCTGTCCTTTCTATAGACCTTGGAGTAGCCAGGGGGGAAAATCTCAGCAGAATTTATTCCGGGTGTTTCTAGCCATGTTTCCGTACCGAGAATGATATCAGGTCTGAGACTCTGGATAAGGTGGTCCAATTCAGGCACTTTCCCACGTATTGACTGGAAATTTACATTAAGTATCCGCAGAGGTCGATTTTTGTTTTTGTCTTGTTTCTTTTGTCGGATTGGAGTGGAATTGTGGGTTGGATGGAAAGAATCGTTTGAACAGAAGGTTAAATTTTCAGAATCACAACTCTCTTCATCAAGGTCAGCAAGGTCAGCAAGGTCGTTGCATCTACTTGGGGAAGCACGCAGGCTGGCGTGCCACAAGGAAGCATCTTAGGCCCGCTACTGTTCCTTGTGTTCATCAACGACATAAAAGAACTCCCCTGCTCCTCCAATATCAACTGTTTTGCTGACGACACCTCGCTCTCCAAGTCTGGACCAACCGCCCAGGTAGTGGCCAGAACAACTAACATCGACCTCGAGCTGGTATCTACCTGGTCCCTCGACTGGGGTCTCCAACTTCACCCAGATAAATGCAAAGTACTTTGCATCAAGTCCCCTAGAAGCAAGGTGCAGCTTCCTCCCATATACATCGCAGGGCAGGAAGTTGAACAAGTGCCGTTCTACACCCACCTGGGAACAACCATCCATCAAACCTTACGCTGGACCGAACATGTTCAGATTACAACCAGTAAGGCCAGGCGAACCCTGGGCTTCCTATGGAAACTCCAAAGCAAGCTATCCCGGGAGGCACTTGAAATGGCGTACAACACAATAGTCAGACCAAAACTGGAGTACGCCACCGTACTGCTCGGGGACTTGTCCTGCTCATCCAGCAAGATGTTGGAGAGAGTGCATTACCAGGCCGGCTGCCTCATCACCGGAGCCTTGAGACGTACACCATCAAGTGTCGTCATGCAGGAGTTAGAATGGGACAGTCTGTCCACCAGGAGGCAGTTCCATTCCATGGTTCTGATGTACAAACTGGTGAACGGACTAGTCCCCCCTCACCTCCAGCCACTAATCCCCACCACACGAGGAGACCAAAGGGTCACACGTGTTCAGCTGCGGAACGCAACGCACCTGCACTTACCTCGGTGCCGTACACAGACGTACCAGGCCAGCTTTCTGCCTTATGCGTCACGGCTGTGGAATCAGCTGCCTCAGTCTGTTAGAGAGGCCCGCAGCATCACTATATTTAAGAACATGTGTCGGGCCCACCCTGCTCACACAGCAGAAGCACCAGTTGACCCGGAGACGTGGCCCCAGACACGAGAACATTCTGGCGGCTAGAAACCGCATGAACTGTATCTAGTACTAAATGGACTGATATACTAGTATTCTAATCTATGCTGTTTTTAGTACCCTTATACTTATTTTTATATACTTATACTAGGTTTAAATGTGTGTCTTGTTTGTGTGCTTGTGATTGTTTTGTGTGTGGGCCACAACACCAGCCCCCGCTGCCTGAGGCCCACGAGTATTGTACTTGTTTGTCAATACCTAATAAATACAAATCAAATCAAATCAAATAGAGCACAACAGTCAGACTAGCAGACCTTTTCCCTGGTAACCTTTTGCCTTCTGTATTGGTTGAAAGGTTAGAACAAGGTTTTCCAGTCTGTTGCATATGTCTAATGGATAATGCAATGATTCAAACGTTAGGCCACATCAATTTAACTTGTTGGTTGTTGGATTCACCTCTTCATTTTTTTTCTGATTTGCAAAAAAAAAACAACAAAGATTCTGGTTCTTAACCAAAAAATACTCATATTTTGCCCCCAATAGTTGAGGAAAGTCTTTTTCTTCCTAATTGTTACAGTTTTTCCATCTATCAATGGATATTTTTTTTATTTACTATTATTAGTTACTATACTTCCTTAATGGTTTGATTAGAAGTTCAAAATTCATTGTTTAAACCAAGCCTTTTGTGTTGACTTCATGGCTCCTTTCATAGCATTTGGGGCTATAGCATGCCTAGACCTGTTTTTATTTTTTTTGCCCTGTTGTTTCATATTTTTTCTGAAAAAATCAGAGAACCAACAAATTAAATTGGTGTGGCCTTAAGTTAGCACAAAATTGGACATTATTACCAAGACACTGAGCTAAGCCTCATTAGTGTTTAAAAATTTGCAAAAAATCCTGCCATTCCAAGATTTTACCATATTTCCCCAACAGTTTCTACACTTTTATCATACACAGCAGTCCTGACCTCCAGGATGTAGCTCTCCAGTGACTGGACATCATCCAAACACTGCTGGTCCTGGTGGATCACTACCAGCTCCTTCAGAGGGTACTGGAGTACACAAGAGAGCAACACTTAGTGGAGTAAAACTATGCATAGTAACATACATACCTGTATTGTGGTGTCCGTATCAATGTTTTAGGTAATGGGGGCATCCAAAGCTTGAGAGATATGAGGTACAGAGATATGTCTGGATGCATGTACAATACTGTACAACCTCGAGTTTGTTGAAAGTTGCACAAATTCTATCATTTTGACATATTGGCCCAGACACATGCATAATTATTTACATTACAATGTTCCATCTGATTCTACAAAGTATGGACAGTCTATATCATGTTTGTCAGAAGTTATAAGCTGCCACTACTTGTTGGATGCTGAGTAAATTGGACATTGTAAAGGCTAATATTAGTACAGTAAGAATAGATATATCTTTCCATGGTTAGACAGATTAAGTTTGTAGGTACTGCATTTTCTTAGTAAAAACGAATGCCACTTATTAAAATTGGCTCTTTTGTCAATGACATGTTTGTTCACATATCAGTAACATCTGTGTCCATAATATCACCAGGGTCCATAATATCGCCACCTTGAGAAAAAGTGTGCTTGAAGATATTTTTACTGCAACATACTTTTGGTATGCACTCCTGCACACCTCAAATGTACATACCTAGAGTATGTTGCAGTAAAAACATCTTAAAGCACACTGTTTCTCAAGGTGGCCATATTATGGACTATAGGGATATTATAGACACAGATGTTACACTAGTACCGTTCTTTGAAAAAGCTCAAATTATCAAGAAAACTGTCATGATGTTTCTTCGAAAGTGAAGCTGTTTACGTAATGATAAGTGAGTCTGATTGGTCGACCTGCCTCCTGTTTTCCCATCTTCAGGCCATCTTCACTCCCAAAGGAGCGGAGCCATTCCACAGCCAGGTGAGGTGTGTAAAACCCAAACTTTGCAGTTCAATTCGGCAGTCAAAATATGACATTGCTAAAAAATTGCAGATCATAAAATAAACGTAGTCCTAATAACAAAAGACTACCATCATGTTGTTTTCCCAAGCCTTTCCAAAACATGCCTTAGTCGCCATTCTACATGTAACATTGTGGTGTGTTATACATTGAGACAGCTTACCTACATGTATTATGCAATATGAACAAAACAGCAGGATGGACACAGAAGTAAAAGTTAATGGTGAAGAAAAGTCAAACCTTGACTGGGATGGTTTTCCTGTCCCTGATGACTCTGGAAACTTCTATCACTGACTGCATCCTGGACACAGATCTCTCTATCTGCTGGTCAATCAGCTTCTCTCTGTCAGCAGATTTACAAGGAAAAGATATCATAGTATTTGATGGCACTGAAAGTTGAATAGCACTTGTTGTTCATATTAACATGTTACAGTTCGTAACAGGCAAGGAGAAGCAGTCACAGAAGGTTGATGTTTTGTGATGCTTGTGCAGTGATAGAGGATGAACTGACAAAGTTGTGCCCCCTTGAATATTGAATACCAGGCCTGGGCTAATATGTTATCTGCATGCTTGCTGATTCACCTGTAATGCGGCCTTGACTGTCCGTCATTTTTCAGGTATGTAAGCGTGCTGAGTGACACGCTATAACGTGGCTTTGACGTGCACAGGGAACACACCATGACGGCAGTCATAGGGTGCTATATGGGGCACCAAGAACGGCTGTCTTTACTGTATCTATATCAACAAATTATGTGGACAGGTAGTAATAGCCCACTCAAAAAAATAGTTCAAGAATCATATTTTGTAGTGGTTGAGTTTTTATGACTGGCTGAGTTTACGAAAACATCGAATCATCGGCAAGTTCGTGCATCGCCCGTCGCTGACCGGCCGATCGCGGGACTCGTTCAGCCATCCATTCTACAAATAAAGGAAGGAACACTACATGTCCTAATCTGCACTTTCTTTTGTAGTATCTCCAGTAATAGTTTGTGTTTTTCCTTGTCTGGAGTAACTAAAATAGCTGTATAAACTGCGCGCCGCGCCNGCGATCGGCCGGTCAGCGACGGGCGATGCACGAACTTGCCGATGATTCGATGTTTTCGTAAACTCAGCCAGTCATAAAAACTCAACCACTACAAAATATGATTCTTGAACTATTTTTTTGAGTGGGCTATTACTACCTGTCCACATAATTTGTTGATATAGATACAGTAAAGACAGCCGTTCTTGGTGCCCCATATAGCACCCTATGACTGCCGTCATGGTGTGTTCCTGTGCACGTCAAAGCCACGTTATAGCGTGTCACTCAGCACGCTTACATAGCTCCATTTTTTCTATTCCCCCCCCCCTCAAGCATGTTGCAGTGCTGTATCTTAGGCCACACCAATTTAATTTCTTGGTTAATGGATTTTTCTAGAAAAATAATGGAGCGGGCGGGCGAAAAAAATAACAAATAAAAACAGGCCTGGGCATCCTATTATGGCCCAAAATGGTTCGATAGGAGCCATGAAGTCAACACACCAGGCTGGTTCAAAATTTAAACAATGAATTTTGAACTTTTAATGATACCATTGCATTGAAAGATGGAATAACTGAAACAACTAGGATGAAAAGGACTGTTTTCAACTGTTCAGGGCAAAATATGAGCATTTTGCAGTTGATTCTGAATATTTATTTTTATTTCCAAATCAGAAAAAATTAAGCGGTGAATCCGTTAACCAAGAAATTAAATTGGTGTGGTCTCAGACTGGTATTTTGAACACTGACATGTATGTTTAAAATGCAGAAATACAGAAAGAGACACGTGGGGACTTTAATTAGCCAACTGTGGGATTAAAGTTTTCACCTTGGCTTTGGTAGCATGAGATAGTGCACACTGTCCACATTCTGTTTCTTTGTGAGGGCCGGGTCCAGCAAGTGACGCAGATTCTGGTACATCTGTTCTGTTAGGAAGGGGATGAATGGGGCCTGGAGGAGAAAATAACATAATTATGCACTCAATATTTTCTCTTTACCATAGCAATACATGTAGAACATAACTACATGTATGCTAGAGCTATTACTTCCCATCAAAAGGAATCAAAGGCAACTTTTTGTATCTTCATCATGTAACGTTTTCAGTGTTCAGGTACATAACTGTACATGTACTGATTAATGTAATTCACTTAATTCCAGAGATCATATAACTCAAGCCAGAACCCTCAAAACTCTTTTGTCACTTTGTTGCCACGCACTAACCTACCCACAAAGCCCCTATCAGGGAAGATGGGCGTGTGCACTGTCAAGCATGACGTGTGTAATAAATTGATGATAAACTCACCATAACTTGAGTCATGGAAAACAGAACACTGAACAGAGTCTCCAGTGCTCGCAGACAGTCTTCTGTGCCCCCATCTCCCTGGAAACAACATACATGTACATGTACATTGTACACAACAATCTTGACAAGAATTTCTTCATTGTACTCAGAAGCCACTACAAAAGCTTTTCTTCAGCATATACTGCATGAGATGACAAGCCCTACAAACGTACACTGAGTATGTTACAACATTTACCTCCTTATTTCACAGGACTGAGAATGAGATTGAGAAAAATTGGACAGTCAGTTTCCTGGTACTATGCCAACTGAGATGGTACAACAATGACATTGACAATGAACTTTATTGCATATTCACGCTCTACATGTACATGAGCCAAAATGCACTAAGTTAGATAACTTGGGTACAAGTATAGAAGAAACAGGTGTTACATTTCTGCGCTACGTCTCTATCTACATGATGTATCTACAGGATCTGTCTACAGGATCTCTTCTCTCTTTTTGAAACATGTGTGGACAATGTAAATGGAGGATAACAAACGCACAAGGGCAGACCACAGATGCTACAAATGCTGACATGCAACACATAAGTTTCTCCTTAATGCTGGAAATTTTTCACGAGAAGTGAAAAATGGGTTGTTGAGTTCTGTTCATGAATTATGTTTCCTTCTAAAAATATGGGAAATCCAAATGTCTAATATATGCTATTCCCATAAGTTGTAGTTAAGACAAGTTAATCAGCTCTGTGATATCATGACCAATGCTAATTATTCCCACCACAGAGCAGACGTTTTTTAAGTTGTTCTTTTAGTGTGTTCTTGGACAATTGACTTTAAAAATCGCATAGGTGTTTTCAAAAATGTTTAGATGATAATGACAGAGGAAATTTCATGACATCAATGAAAGAAATTACAAATTGAATCATTATGTTGTTTAAAAGGTTTCTTGGAAACCAATTTTATTTTACTTAATTCACTTTAGGTAGGTCACTTTAACATTTAGTGACTAACATTCTTTAAAAAAATCCTTTGCTCTACACTGGTCACTGATAGTTGGTATCTGTTGATACTCACTTTGAGCCTCTTCCTGTTGAAGCGCACATACCAGTTGGTCAGCATGTCCACAAACTTGACCAGCCGTGGAACAACAGTGTACAGACGATATGCTGCAAGAAACCAACAGCATTGACTGTTCATTATCATCATCAATCCAGGGCATTTTCACCCCTCTCTTAAAGTAAGTAAGAGGAGAAGGCAAAGAAGAAACTCGAGAGAAAGCAATACTGTTTCACCACACCACGAATTATACCATAACATTTGTGTTATCATGGGGTGCCTTGGAATGTTTGTTTTTCCGTCATTTCATATTTTTTTCTGACAACATTCGAGAACCAACAAATTAAATTGCAAGTGCACAAAGACAAAAGGTAACTGCACATATTGGTCACTGTTGAATGCTGAATCCTGACCTGCCATCTCCTGTGTCACAAACTGGATGAGAGACTGTGTGAAGGATAAGATCCAGCGGTCCATGATGTTATCTGATGACAACACAGTGTCTGCATTGTACACAAATGTCAGACCATCCTCCTGTCAAATATAAACGAATAATAAAAGTCTGTAACTTGGTAGAGATTGAACAAAACACAATGAACATGCATGACATGGTAAAACAGTTTTAGAAGTCAGCACAAAGTCAATCCATTTTGTCAGTGATGTTTATGTAGTATCTAAATTTTGTTTCTTCCCTCTGACTTTGGTAAATGTGATGGAAGAACATTATTTTGAAGTATGGCTATTTTCAAGTAGAGACTGTGAAGAGATCTGCAAGCTTGACTCTGACCTTCTCCAGCCTGATGACATTTTGAATGAGGAAGCGGTAGGCGTTGTACCACGGGAGGAACACATCCTTCAGTACATCTCTCACACCCTCCTCCTTAAACCTCAGGCTGTCTGCACGCACCACCGGGGAGTTAATCAGGTACAGGCGCAGCGCATCTGCTCCATACTTATGCACCACGTCCATGGGGTCAGGGTAGTTCTTCTTACGCTTGCTCATCTTCTGTCCATCTCTGGAATGAAAGAATGAATGAATGATTGATTGAATGAATGGTTTGCGCTGATGTTCATCTATTAAATTAATTTGCAGCCACAGCTGAACTGATAATATTGAACTAACTATTGTCTTATTATTATTGTCTTCGTCAGAAGGACTATGAAATTGTCTCGCCGCATTGTGGGGACTGCGGATTTAGCAATATAACTCTGGCAGGCATGATTCGACGTCCATGATTTTTGGCAGGCAGATTACCGTTGTTAAGGCCGAAGTCAAGTGCAAGTTTCGGCTTCGTGGGGGGTCCGTGCGTCACGTTAGTGCACCTTTTGTGTTTGTGGCTTGTTAGCAAAATAACTCGAGTATATGTAAATTGATGTTTATAATTTTTTGGAGGCAACTTGCTATTGTTGAGACCAAGATTAAGTTCGTTAATGGGCTTCGTGGGGGGTTCCGTTGTCACTGTAGCGGACCTTTTGTGTGTAGAAAACCCCCACCAACATCTGCTTGGAGACAGCCGACAGCTGGATATAGCCGGGAACCCCATAATGGGATGGGATCAAATGACGTTACATTGAGGGATTGTACTATAACTTCAGCAGGGGGAGGATAGGTTGGACATGTGTCAGGTTATTTTCTACGGCCACACCAAGTAATTACTATGGATGGCGTCCACTGGAGACCTTAAATTTAATTACCTTAAATTTAAGGCAAAAGCGCAATAAAAACACGAAGGGCCGAAAAACGAGATGCCTAGATTTGGAATCTACTAACTGTAGAAATACAAATGTTAGGACACAAATTGAATAAAAGAACGCAGTGTNAACTTGCTATTGTTGAGACCAAGATTAAGTTCGTTAATGGGCTTCGTGGGGGGTTCCGTTGTCACTGTAGCGGACCTTTTGTGTGTAGAAAACCCCCACCAACATCTGCTTGGAGACAGCCGACAGCTGGATATAGCCGGGAACCCCATAATGGGATGGGATCAAATGACGTTACATTGAGGGATTGTACTATAACTTCAGCAGGGGGAGGATAGGTTGGACATGTGTCAGGTTATTTTCTACGGCCACACCAAGTAATTACTATGGATGGCGTCCACTGGAGACCTTAAATTTAATTACCTTAAATTTAAGGCAAAAGCGCAATAAAAACACGAAGGGCCGAAAAACGAGATGCCTAGATTTGGAATCTACTAACTGTAGAAATACAAATGTTAGGACACAAATTGAATAAAAGAACGCAGTGTAACAAGAAACAAGTCTTCTATTTGTCATAAAGATAAATTAACAAAACAGCAGTAGTCGCCCTGTTCTGATTCTTTCCTTTATAACATCTTCTCTTATTATATTTTGTGACACTGTCGTGACACTTTCAACACAGTAAGAATTTCTTGAAAGTTTTTTTTCCAGTAACAGTCCAAAATCAAATAACACGGGTGACGACGCATCTGCGGCAAACCGTTTCAGGGTGTTCTGTACCATAAAAAGAGTACAGCGATTCTTTTGTTCTTTAGACCAAATTGATTATTAGAAAGAGTAAAAAAACACGCATGTTCATTTCTCTAGAACGATGTACCTCTGACGAAGACATGAGATCTCCGACCTCTAGTTCTAAATGGAATATTTACAAATTATCATTTATACAAGTTCGACATTTTATGATATCTCAATTATCTGTCTCTTCAATGCAAAAGAAAATCATGTTGCGCAACCGGGTATTTTGAACACTGCTCATACACAAACACACACACTCACTTGCTCACTCACTCACAAACTAACTAACTCACACACACACACTCACTAACACACAAACACACCCACATGCAAACATACAATTTCTATACCAAAAACATAACCTTCTTTGTGAGGACAGCATACAGACAACATCTAAATTTGACAAGTTTGACTCACGAAGCCAGCACCAGCCCATTCACTATGAGATTCTTGAATGGTGGCTTCCCAAACAATGCTGTTGACAGGACCAGCAGAGTATAGAACCTGTTAATTAACAAGACAACAGTATGAGCAGAATCCAGCACGACCTATTGCAACTCCACTTACATGTACACAATGTCAGAGGACAATTTGGGGGGTGGGGTTAAAATATCACTTTTAATAAATTGCTTTAAAGATGAATCTGTCTTTAACTCTTACACATTTCAGCCGTGTTAGTATATAATTTCAATTTGCAACAATGTTAACAATGCAGAAATGTTAACTAAAACTCCATTGTAGGACCCTCAGATGCCTTTTGTCACTTTTGTCCTGCACAACCTAAACTACAGCGTTTTAAGGCACCTTCATAAAGAGTGAACTGTGTGTTTCTGTGTATGTACCCATGACTAAGTTTAAGGCAGAGTTGACATACCATCCTCTTGTCTGGTCGATTCCCTCAGCAATGAAGTCTGCAGGAAAGCTGTCCTCAAATTCTTTTTTGTTCTCAAAGGGGTAGTGATTTTGGGCGTAGGGCATGCTGACAAGGACAAAAAAAAACATTATCAAGACTATAGTCAAACTTGCCCAAGCCACCACCTCTAGAGGCCAACTGGCCATAACAACGGTTACTACTTTTTCTTGGTCCCAATTTTTTTCCCCAAAGAGGTAAACATTAAGGGACTTGCTTAAGCCGTCAACAAAGAACAGAGTTATACCCGTCAACAAAGAACAGAGTTATACCCGTCAACTAAGAACAGAGGGACTAAAGAGAATAAACAGCATGCAACAGTCAGTGGATAATTTCTTCCTATCTTGCAATGTTTTCCTGGGACTGGTGCCCTCTGAAACTGAAGTCAGAATACATGTAAATGACTTCTTTCTTTTAAAACATGATTGTTAACATGTTTGTTATGTTTAATAGCACCTTAGATTTTAAATTGAGACGTGTTGTTTTTTGCATCAGTTTGGGAAGTCCTGAGAATGTCATCCTCAGAATCAAGTCAGTCTGGCCTAAAATTAAATTCGGCAGAATCGACCTTTGCCCATGGAAGCAGGCCAACATGATGCTAGGCACGGCATTTATTTCCTGGGAAATTTGCTTTAGGCCACACCTATTTAATTTCTTGGTTAATGGATTTTTCTGGAAATATAATGGAGCGGGCGGGCAAAAAAAATAAAAACAGGCCTAGGCATCCTACATGTATTATGGCCCAAAATGGTATGATAGGAGCCATGAAGTCAACACACCAGACTAGTTCAATGCATTTTGAACTTTTAATGATACCACTGCATTGAAAGATGGAATAACTGAAACAACTAGGATGAAAAGGACTGTTTTCAATTGTTCAGGGCAAAATATGAGCATTTTGCAGTTGATTCTGAATTTTTTTTTTTTTCAATCAGAAAGAAACGAAGCGGGCGAATCCGTTAACCAAGAAATTAAATTGGTGTGGCCTTATCTTCATATTATTTCTCAGGTTTTTGGTGTTAACATAAAAACAACTTCATACACAATGTATCCTAAAGCATGATGTCCACACAAATTGTGTATTTCTTGTTGTTTTTTCTCTATTTACATTTTGTAGGCCACCTCCATCAGCAGTTGGAAAACCTCCAAGAGGCTGACAAGAAGGGTGACTACAACACCACCTGGAAAATAGTAAACTCACTAGCTGGCAAGGGTAGAAGACCCAGCCCAAGAGTTAAGAAGCGCGATGGATCAGCTCCATCCAGCGNATCTGCTGGTCAATCAGCTTCTCTCTGTCAGCAGATTTACAAGGAAAAGATATCATAGTATTTGATGGCACTGAAAGTTGAATAGCACTTGTTGTTCATATTAACATGTTACAGTTCGTAACAGGCAAGGAGAAGCAGTCACAGAAGGTTGATGTTTTGTGATGCTTGTGCAGTGATAGAGGATGAACTGACAAAGTTGTGCCCCCTTGAATATTGAATACCGGGCCTGGGCTAATATGTTATCTGCATGCTTGCTGATTCACCTGTAATGCGGCCTTGACTGTCCGTCATTTTTTCTATTCCCCCCCCCTCAAGCATGTTGCAGTGCTGTATCTTAGGCCACACCAATTTAATTTCTTGGTTAATGGATTTTTCTAGAAAAATAATGGAGCGGGCGGGCGAAAAAAATAACAAATAAAAACAGGCCTGGGCATCCTATTATGGCCCAAAATGGTTCGATAGGAGCCATGAAGTCAACACACCAGACTAGTTCAAAATTTAAACAATGAATTTTGAACTTTTAATGATACCACTGCATGAAAGATGGAATAACTGAAACAACTAGGATGAAAAGGACTGTTTTCAATTGTTCAGGGCAAAATATGAGCATTTTGCAGTTGATTCTGAATAATTTTTTTTTTCAAATCAGAAAGAAACGAAGCGGGCGAATCCGTTAACCAAGAAATTAAATTGGTGTGGCCTTATCTTCATATTATTTCTCAGGTTTTGGTGTTAACATAAAAACAACTTCATACACAATGTATCCTAAAGCATGATGTCCACACAAATTGTGTATTTCTTGTTGTTTTTCTCTATTTACATTTTGTAGGCCACCTCCCTTCATACATGTAACGTTACTAAGTCTTGAAATAAGTTTGACCGAATGTATACCTTAACAATATTGGTGTGCAATACAAGTGGACTGAACTGAACTGCCACCTACAATGTAAGTCTGAAGCAACAAGTAGAGAAACACTTGTCTGAAGGCAGAATACGTGCAATATGATTTTACTTTTAAATGACGCTGTCTTGAGTCAAAAGAGAGCAAAATTATAATTATAATTATAGTACATGGAATATATATTGCATTTCTCTCTTAAATCCGACTGTTCTGAAAGTACTGTAACTGTATGATAATCACAATGCACAGAAAACACTGTCTCATTAATTTAAGCACTACTGTTATCTCTGCTGTAGACATGATCTTACCTTCCACTTTCAAACCAGCAGTCAAACACCTCAGGCACTCTGCGCAGCACGCCTTTCCCTCGGGTGAGGGATGGTCACATGGTCCACACTGAGAGAAACTCAGTCATCAGGATTACAATGTAACAATACAGATGCCAGACTGCTCTAACAATGAACATCTCACCAACAAACTCCACTACGAGCTACAATGATCATCATCACAGGCAGGACCACGTGGCTTAGACCCCACAATTTTCTTTAATATCAACTTGAACTGAATTGAATCACAACAAAACTAAACATACCCTTAAAGCAAACTAGCCTTCACTCATGCACAAAGTTTCCAAGTACTATTAGGATATTCACGTACTACTACTGTTATTTCTGCCATACAGTTTTGTATTTAGGCCACACCAATTTAATTGTTGGTTCTCGGATTCGCCTCTTCGCTTTTTCTGATTTGCAAAAAAAAAAATTTGATTCTGGTCCTGAATCAACTGAAAAATGCTCATGTTTTGCCCCCCCCCCAACAGTTGAGGAAAGTCCTTTTCTTCCTAGTTGTTACAGTTTTCCCATCTATCATTGCAGTGGTTTGATTAAAAGTTCAAAATTCAATGTTTAAATTTTAACCCAGCCTTTTGTGTTGACTTCATGGCTCATTTTGTAGCATTTAAGCCTATAATAGGATGCCTAGACCCGTTTTTATTTTTATTTTTTTTCGCCCTGTCGCTTCATATTTTTTCTGAAAAAATCAGAGAACCAACAAATTAAATTGGTGTGGCCTTAATATCAACAATTCTGATTTCAAACCATCTTTTCTGTGCTGATACTGAGAGTAAATTTGTAACTTTAAAATGCCAACCTTTCTCTGTGGAGATCTGTCACCTTGACACCAGACAACCTGTAAAGCTCCTCCACAGATCCAACAACAACAACCTGAATAAAACAACAATCACAACATTAGCTCTCATCATAGGAAAGTATAGAAATAATGATAGCTATGGATATTTTAATATCCATGAGTTAAAACTGATGATTATACATCATGCAGTCATAGATTTCTCACATTTTACAAAACTACTCTAGTTTTGATGATTCCAGCAAGAATACATAATCAAACCAAGACACTTGATTTTAAAACTTCTGGAAGATTAGTTACATACAAACTGTATTGACTACTTTGTGTGAAAGGTAATTTAAGTATCCAAGTATCCACGCTGTAGCCACTTCAAACTACTGAGCCTGTGTCTGACCTCCTCATAGTCATCGCTGACCCAGAGCGGGATGGGCGTGCCCCAGTAACGGTTGCGAGAGATGGCCCAGTCATGAGCATCACGGAGCCAGTTGGCAAATCGCTTCTCCTTCACAAATGCCGGAACCCTGGAGAAAAAGTCATCAAAAAGGTGGTAGATTTAATACCCTGGGTCCCATCCCATTTAGTTTTCCACGACTGCCACACTCTCCCCTACGTTGGTGAGAATTGGAGCCCTGGTGAATTTTAATGTCTCAAGAGGAGGTATTTGACAACATGCCTGTGGGTAAAGCATTACTCCTACAAGACTCTGGAACCAAAACAGAGACAGAGAAGAACTACAAAGGCCCACATTTGCTTTGGAGCAAATTCAGCATGGCTTCACCACATTTCATGACATGGGGGATAGGTCTAGTTGACCAGGGGTATGGGGACTTAACTGGACTGAGATGGTAGTTGTCCAGAGTGAACCAACCTTGACTTAATATTTACCAGTACCTTTAAAGCTCATTATATGTACAGTATTTGTTTTCTTAAGGTACGCAGCCCTACATGTACATGTATGTATGCAACCTGAAATGGTGACGAAGACCTAGCTTTCGAGTGTTTCAAAACCAGCATATCACAAACTCACTAGTAAACCTTACCAGTAACACTGACTGTTGTTGTCCAGCAGTTTCTCAACAAGGGGCTCTACACGCACAAACCAACCAGGCACTGCTTTGTAGATGAGTGGTGTTTCTGAGCGCCAACAGAAAGGGTAGCTATGCACATAAGTCCCCTGGTTCACAAGTCGGCCATGTTGTTTCAGCCAATGGATGATGTTCTTGTCAGCTTCCTGAAGAAATGGAATCCAGAATTTACCCAGAACAGTGGATAGTCCAAAGTACATAGCCTGCATGTGCTTATTATCTCCAAGAAGCAGCATCAATTTTACATACATGTATGAGACTTTTTACCTATCAACTCTTACCTTGACATACTGTCCCTTAAAGTCAGTAACTTCTTCTGTAAAGTAGCCACTGGCATCTACAGGGCAGACTACCGAGCCATCTCGAGAGATGACACCATTGGCCAGGCAAACTCTGTAATCATCCTGCAAAATAGAGGGATTTGCTGCTGTCGGTTTGGTTTGTTACGTACATGAAAATTGGAGGTGATGTTTTTGGTTGTGTGTGTGTGTGTGTGTGTTCGTGTGTGTGTGTTCGTGTGTGTGTGTTCGTGTGTGTGTCTGTGTTTCCACATGACCCTGAGGTCATGTTGGATTTGGATGAGTTGTCTGTCCCAGAGGGAGAAAGTATCTAATTACCTCTACACATGTACATCTTGTAGCACCTGATGTTTTCATACTAGGTGTTTTTCATTACATAACCCCCTTGACAGCTGTTGCTGTTTCTTAACACATTAAAGAAAACTTGTAGACATGATAGCAAATGAGAAGAGACCACAGTCACCATCACACAAGAGCATGGAGGTCTGGGGTCTCCACACTCCTGTGCTGGTTTGATTTCATAGAGGTTAGAGGCACTCAAGATATAATAAATGTACACATGTATAGAAGAGTCAACCATAGAAATGACTCCCATATTTTTACTCCCATGACTGCCATATTTTTACTTGACTTTCATGGCAAGAAAAGGCATTGTTCAACACTCAACTTGCAACAGCATTGTGTAACATTTCCTGTTCAGGGGTATCACATAGTGCTACTCAGGCCACACCAATTTAATTTCTTGGTTAACGGATTCACCGCTTCATTTTTTCTGATTTGCAAAAAAAAAATAAAAATTTAGAATCAACTCCAAAATGCTCATATTTTGCCCTGAACAGTTGAAAGCAGTCCTTTTCTTACTACCTGTTACAGTCATTCCATCTTTCAATGTAGTGGTATCATTAAAAGTTCAAAATTCATTGTATAAATTTTGAACCAGCCTGGTGTGTTGACTTCATGGCTCCTATTGTACCATTTTGGATGCCTAGGCCTGTTTTTATTTTTTTATTTTTTTCGCCCGCCCGCTCCATTATTTTTCTATAAAAATCCGTTAACCAAGAAATTAAATTGGTGTGGCCTCAGAGCAAAGCTATCACCATCAGTGGTGACCATAGAGAGGGTACATCATGTAAATGGCCCATGACCCCAGACCTCCTATAATCTACTAGAATCTACCTTACTCAGCACAGTAAGTGATGCAGACGATCTCTACTCTGGCACTGAGTTCAAAACGTCTGTTTACAAAATCTATTTCTTCATCAACAGGTCATTTTTTGCTAGTGCAAGTGTGGCCTAACTTCGCATGGTGATTGTTGATAACAGCCATCCTTACCTCTCCAAAGTACGGCGCCTGGTGGACCACTCCAGTACCCGTCTCCGTGGTGACATAACCATCAACAAAGATGCGAAATGCTCCTGACTTCTTGCGCTTTGGGACAGACGTGTAAAAAAATTAATACAATTTGGACACCACCACAGAAGTTGTTACCAAGCTTTGAAAAAAGTGTCATGAAACAAGACATGATTTCCTTGTTTGATTTTGGGTGTACATCTACATCTATGTGCATATCAATTTTTGTCAGCTTTCAGGTGTACATGTAGTTTGTGACAATTCTGTAGACTGTAAAAAGTACAATAGCAGAATTGCTGTCACCCTCCGTTCAAACCAGCATAGTTAGGCAGTCCAGGATGTGAGACTGAGGTTGAAAGAGTGCCCCTGGTTGTGTTATTGGTAGTGAAAATGGTAGAAGAGTACAAATGTAGCTGTTATTGCTATGTCTGCAATATTGTCTGTACCTTCCTTTTAGCGTCTGACTAGTCAGCTACTTGGTTTCTCACATTTGAGTCTGTAAATCCCATTGGCCTTGATACTTTTTCAAGGTCAGTCTTCTAGATGAATAATTCTTGCCTGCTCAAAAGTGTTCAATTACATGACTGTATATCTAGAACTTCTTCTGTTCATCATCCACACACAGACACCGTACAAGACTTGCACAAAGAGAGGCGTTACCTAGACAAACCCAAAATTAAAGCTAAAACCAGAACATTTGTATATAGAAGCATAAAAACATACAACAACCTACCATTCGATATAACATCAGAAAGCGAACGCACATTTAAAGACAATATCAAAGTATGGAGTAACAAGTACAACCACATGCGTCTCGACACATGGTGGTAATGTACATGGTGTAAATAGGGACCTCTGACCTCTCCACTGTATTTTAAGTATGTAATTTAAGCTAGCTTTAATTGTTGTACATATAAGCAAGTAGGCCTACGGGTAGATTGTGTTAAGATTGCTATTGTTATACTGTTATCTAAGCTGATGTTGTTGTAAATACATGTTGTAATTGTAGCTATTACATGTAAGTTAACTTTGTAATTACCTCCATGAAATGTGTCATGGAGGTTATATTTTCAGTTGCGTTTATCTGTCTGTTGGTCAACAAGATAACTCAAGAACGCCTGGATGGATTGGTTTCATACTTGGTGTGTTGGTAGGGTGTGACGAAAACTAGAAATGATTAGATTTTGGTCCCCCTAGTGGCTTCCCTTGGTACTGCAGCGCAACTTCCGGTTTTGATATCTCGCGATCTGGACATGCTAGGGTCATGAAATTTTGATGGAAGGTAGCTCTCGTGCTTGGGAAGAAGTCATATGAGTTTGGCCCCCCTAGCGGCTTGTTCTGGAACTGCAGGGCACTTTCTGGCGAAATGTTTAAGAGCCAATAAGTCCAGACAGGAACAACATATTTTCATTATTTTTGGTGTGTAGGTAGCTGAGAGAGAGATGTACATAATTAAATGCAAATTATGCAAATGAGGACTTTATTTGCATAATTAATGAGGAAATTCTATAATTACAGTGTTTTACATTATACTACTTACATACATGTAATGTATGTAACCTATGGCAGACGGAACTTCAACAGATACTAATTATGCAAATGACCTAATTTGCATAATTAATGCGAAAATTATATGATTTTGTAATGGTGAATGATGAGAATGTCATACTAGGGACATCTGTAAGTTAATCAAAAGTTAACATACATCACGATGCATATATCATGTTAATGCAGAGGTCATTTGCACAATTAAAGAAGAAATTTACATTTACATATCAAGATCATATTTCATGGAGGTATGAGATCTCGGAATTCTAGTTGATTATATTTCATGTTTCAAATGTAATGTTAAAGGACTCCAGGAAGACTAGTAAACAAACATTGTATTACTAATGGAGATTCCTAATAAACATAAACATAAACATCATCAGATATTTAGATCAGATTTGGGGTGTCCTAAGGATGTCAGGGTGGGCCACTTTGTCAGGGTACATTGTAAATTTGCACATTGTACATGCAGTTAAATGCCAAAGCATACATCAAAATGATTTGACATACCTCACTGAAATAAGGGAACAATGGTTTGTAACCCTTTCCAAACAGGGTAGATCCTTTGAACCTGTAATAGGTAAGGAAAAAAAAAGTTCATTATCAAACATAGTATATATTATAACATACATTACACATACAATCTTTAATACAATCCTATCTATCTACATGTATCTATCTCTATATATCTATATCTGTCTACCTATATATCTAACATTATATCTAACTTTGTAAATGTTTCTCTCTCATAAGCGATACTTAAAACATTCTCCACTTCTTCACAACATCCAGGAACCAAGTACTTATTAAAATTAGGGTGGCAAAAAATCCATTTATGGTTGTGTGAATATTTCTGGAAAGGCCCTAAAGCTGCACACATGCTATGAGCAGCAGGCGATTGAGCTGCAGCACCTGTCCAGGATGGTGTACTCCTCAGCTTTCTTGAACAGTGCCTCCAGCCTGGCCTCCATCATGATGTACACCTTATCAGTGGTGTTATCTGTGGGAACATGGCCAAAATTGCACCTTGTTATATTACATATACATGACAGTATATGTGTATCTTGGTCACTGGTGTTCATGTACATACGACATTCTTCAAATAATTTTATGATCACAGGATACCAAGAGATCCTCTTCTATATGGTCAATGTAACTGTGCCTATATCATCAGTACTGTATATGGCTAAAAAGTCTGACTTGTACAGAGACATCATCATCATCATCATACTGGGGCATTTCTCTCCTGCAGAGGAACCTCCCCTGGCTGACTCCAGTCTTGTCTTAGGCCCCGTTCATGATTGGATATCTGTTACGAATTGATTCCATTTAAAAAAATATATCGATTCATTTGGGAACATGAACGCTCCAAACCGGTTCCATTGCAATTTATTTTGAACCACCTCGTGAGGTGGTCTGAAACGATACATAACGATTCGCATTCGTAGAATTGTAATCATGAACGCGTGGATGCGAATCGTTTTGGTTCGACGCTGTACACCCGGGTACGAGGCCGGCGCAGTGGCTTGTACTGCAGAAAATTCTACTTGAATCGTACTTGACATTGAGTTTTAATTACTGGTCGACTGAGGAAACAGGAGTTCTGATATTGACTTGGGGAAATCAGGAGATCCAGAGGAAATTGGATGGTGTGCACCAGAACCTACTCTGGGCGTGAGGGCGAGTGGTAGCCCAACGGAGGCGTTGGGGTGGCGGACCGTGGAGGTTTGCGCCAGATACATCCGGGGCACAGCCTATGGGGAGGATATGAGTCGGGAACGAGCGACCACTCGCCCGAACAGGTGTAAACTCTCCGCCTTACGAGCTGAGTTCCCAGGAAATGTTCAAAGAAATTGTGATATACATATGAAATGCAAGTGAATTAGAGGTGTGAAACCATTTCCAGTGTAGGTGCAAGTTTTGAATCACGGACGCAAAAATATATTCCATTTCGAATCGGATCGTGGCCAAACCGGAACACATTTGAATCATGAATGAGGCCTTAGTCTGGCAGACAGACCACGTGTACAAACATGTATGTATTCAGGCCAGAAAAAAATATATATCATCAACAAAAAATGAAATAGGGTTCATGTTGATAAATACAGCTTAAATTTGGGCTTTAATCTGATGTATACAAATGTAGGTTCACATTTTTAATGGGAGAGAGCACAGAACCAAAAGAGACAGTATTAACACAATGTAAACTGCAGCACCCTGCATGTTCCATAGTCTCTACCAGTCTAACAATGCAGGTTCAACAGCAACATTTAGCCACATATGGGAACAATCAGCCAGGGGAGTTTGCTCACTGTAGAGTTCATTTGCCCCCGCTTCGAGGGCAGAAACTGAGCCATTTTTCTTCCCCTTTTTTGCCAAACTCTATGATCAGTACCCTCGAAGGCCTGGTGGAGGCTAGAACGCCTAAGCAGTAACTGCAGGAACAATGTCCTGCAGCTGGTACAGCACTGTACAGTACAGTAGATAACATAAAATCAACTGTTGTCGGATAAAATTGTTCATTGAATTTCACAAACCTGAGCTTTATCTTTTGATTGAGCACAAAATTATGTGGAAAGGCACCATAAAGCGCCAAAGGTTCTTTGAATTATGCATATTTTCACTAAATGTGGCTATACAGCTGTGGAAAGCAGTGTTTGAGTGCATATTTTCCAACAAAGAAAAATTGTTTACGTGCGCGTCCCCGCACCTTTGTGTTACTGCCCGGTGCCCGCAGCTGAAGCAACAACCAATCATAGGCGCGTAACGTGGACACATCATGCAAGATTTGCATACCGCCCAGTTGCCCGGCACGTGCGGTGCTTGAAACAAATTTACGTGCCAGTGTATTGCCATATTTCTGGAGATAAATGCTGCAACACAAACATCTAGCCCTGTCTCAGCTCACGTGAGAGCCACCTGGTGCCGTCTGCACAGAGAGTGTTTGCACCTTTGAGTTCAGCGGTACATACATGTATTTTCAGGTTGTGAGGTGCCTACCCGAGTCCAGGTGCAAACCAGCACACAAGGAAATCGGGTTGCAATTTATAGTGCGCTACCGGGTATTTCGAACACTGTATCTGGAGTGAATGGGTAAAAGTTGGGGGCTAGCCCATGCTCTTATTTATCTGCCAATGCCAGTCCCAGAGCAACCCCAGAAGTGGAATGGAATATTCAATGGTTAGTCCTTCAACTGTGTTGCTGCTCCAGAGGCCTGGCGGGAGTCACTACATTCTTTAGTGCAAAGTGTTGAGTTAATCTTCTTATGGCTTTGCGACTAGACCATGATGAACTGACACAGACAGGTGTTTATGTCTTTAGTGCAGGTCTTACCTTTGACCTTGACATAATCCAGCTGTGGGTTGACACACAAGGCCATGTTGCTGGGGAGGGTCCAGGGTGTGGTGGTCCAGGCAATCATGCACACACCAGGGTCATCATCCAGAGGGAAGTTCACAATCACTGACATGTACAGAATGAAAGGAAGGCAATCAGACTCAGAGATGCATAATACAATGAAGCAAACATGGAAAAAGATTACCTTTAAAGAGAAAATTGAGGGTGAAATAGAAATAAAAGAGTGATTGATTTAAATGATGAATTTTTATGTTTAGGCCACACCAATTTAACTTCTTGGTTAACGGATTCACCGCTTCATTTTTTTCTCATTTGCAAATAAAAAGAAAAATTCAGAATCAACTGCAAAATGCTCATATTTTGCCCTGAACAACAGTCCTTTTCATCCTAGTTGTTACAGTTATTTTATCTTTCAATGGTATCATTAAAAGTTAAGAATTCCTTGTTTAAATTTTGAACCAGCCTGGTGTGTTGACTTCATGGCTCCTATTGTACCATTTTGGGCCATAATAGGATGCCTAGGCATGTTTTTATTTTATTTTTTTTTCGCCCGCCCGCTCCATCATTTTTCTAGAAAAATCCGTTAACCAAGAAATTAAATTGATGTGGCCTTATAGGCACATTAAAACAACTTGACTAAGGATGGAACTTCTCAATGATCTTCACTACACCGCCAGGGTTTGGAAGCAATAAAGGACCACTTTCGCTTGGGACATCTACTATAGTTATCCAAGGAAACTCACTTTCACTGGGCAACCTGGCTTTCCGAACTATCTGTACACAGAAAAAATTGTTTGCCCCATGAAACTCTGTTGACTTTGCCCTGATTTTGAAAAATTATTAAATGTATCATCCAAAATAATAACGTACCAGTGGATAGACCTGCCGGTGTGTTTATTTGACAGATGAGAGTATTTGACAGATGAGAGTATCTGCTGACTCACTCCCTACGCTAGCAAGTAGACGGGACAGAACTACCCTGAGAAGATCTGAGAACACTTGACAACATCCTTCAGGATAACACTTCTCCCCTCTGGGCATTTATAACCAGCCCGTCAGACAGTCACTACAGTATCCGTAGGGGACGTCGGCACCGAACAGTGATCAGCAAAAGTAAAAGACATGCCATGTCCTTCATTCCAAGATCCTTAAGACTGCTCTATGCTATTGACAACTAGCTCTCTATAGTTGTATTTAGGGGCTAATTTACTCTAGTGCATAGATCACATTGTTACTCCGTGAAGGAGGTCAGGACCTCCGGACGAAGTGTTGTGAATGGCTGGTTTTTCGTGTTCGCAGTCAAAACACTGGGTTCTCTTTGTGCAATCGGCACGCAATTTTATAGGCCGTCTGCGGGCATGCCCGTGTTGATGCACGAATGTGTATTTTTGCCGTGGTCAATGTAATATTGCAGACGCACCCCTACAATTACGAGGCGAATTGGAATGGTCCAGAAAAACGCGTTGTTTGGAATAGCAGTGGGGGGTGGAACTTCATGCAGATACGGGGTGGTTTTGATAAGTGGTTCCAGATGTTTTTGCCCGTGGTTAAGAGATGGCAAGTTTTTTGGAAGATGTTCGCAGCCAAAACGCATTCTTCCGTACGTCGCATTTCTGTGTAATTTCGCATGTGGTGTGGCATTATGTCCGGGATGATGCACGTCTTTTTATTTTTACCGTAGCTGTTTTGATATTGGAGTAAATGCTTATTTTCGAAACATCCCCATGTCGTTGAAATGTTTTCGTCCGTTTATGGTTTATGTGACCAGTAGTTGTAAGTCGCGGTCAGGCTGATGGGGACGGAAATGTGGGGTGGTCAGTGGTCAGCATTACGAAATGTAAATACCTATGACGTAATCCTATCGATTTAGAACTGGTCGGCTGTGGCGACCTAGTGGCGGCGTGTATTTAGTCACGTAGCAACTGGCCGGTCGTCCTAGCAACGAGCATGCTGGCCGCTTCTCTGCCAATGTTTTTGGGTTGGGCCGCTCCATAGTGTTAGTGGAGCAGCTCTTTGTAAACATGGACAATATTTTTGAGTAACCCATCAATGTGTTCTGCCTCGTGGTCGGATGTGGTCTGGGGCTGGTAAACCGCACATACTAGTAGATCGGGTAATTTTATGATTTGCTAGTTGTAAAGGCGTCTTGTAGTATGAGCCGGTATATGAAGAAGTAGCCTGTGTTACACAATCATGCTTTCGGCCGGATTGATGTGCAACTGTTACTAATTGCAGGGACTGCGCTAATGCCGACCAGTCGCGCTGTCCTGATACACCGCGAATGTGCGAGTGTTCCCTGTAGACAGTCCCGGGAGCACATTCCAGGAGCCAAACCAAAATACGTTCATGAACCGAGTCCAAAAAACCGAAACGTGAAAATCGGATGATCGGACCTGATGTACATTTCTCTTTCTGTAGATTGTACACACAATACACACATCTTTAGATAATCTGGCCATGGCAGGTAAAAAAAAAGTAACCCTGAATCATACTACATTAGCGTAAATGCATGTTTATGCGTTCAAAACAAGAAAAGAAATTGTTTCCCGGTATTAATCTCTTGAAACACGGCGCTGAATATTGACGCAAAAATATTTCGGGCATCGCGCACCCTTCCCCGTTGTTTAGACTGTATGCAAATCCCGCGTCACGTGTCGGCATTTCGCATCTCTGATTGGTTGTTGCGTCTTAAGATGACTGAGCCGACGCGCGTTTAAACAATTTTTCTTTGTTCGATTTATCACACTTCACAGAGAATTGTCGCCAATGGCTACTTCTTTTTGTTGCAATATATAATACTTCACGGAGAATTGTCGCCTATGGCTTCTTGTTAAAACTTCTCGTACTTGTAATCCTAGCACTGAGTTTGTTTGAGCTGACCTGTAACACACGCTCATACATGTACATGTACGTGTCTGCAGCTATCACCAGAAACATTTTGTAAATAGATTACCTGATATCCCTTTATATCTTATTCCTGATATGACTTTTAGAATTGTATTTTATCATGTATTATGAATTTTATACTTGGATTTTAAAGGCAGATCTGTAAGCAATGACGCAATTCATGTGTTGATCTTATATTGTACCTGCTATGTCATTGGTAACTAGAGGTCGGAGATCTCATGTCTTCGTCAGAGGTACATCGTTCTAGAGAAATTAACATGCGTATTCTTCAATCTTTTTAATAATCAATTTGGTCTAACAAAAGAATCTCTGTACTATTTTTATGGTACAGAACACCCTGAAACGGTTTGCCGCAGATTATACAGATGCGTCGTCACCCGTGTTAGCCCCCCCCCCTACATTATTTGAGTTTGGACTGTTACTGGAAAAAAAACGTTCAAGAAATTCTTACTGTGTTGAAAGTGTCACGACAGCGCCGCAAAATATAATAAGAGAAGATGTTATAAAGGAAAGAATCAGAACAGGGTGACTACTGCTGTTTTGTTAATTTGTCTTTATGACAAATAGAAGACTTGTTTCTTGTGTTCTTTGTGTCCTAACATTTGTACTTCTACAGTTAGTATATTCCAAATCTAGGCATCTCGTTTTTCGGCCCTTCGTGTTTTTATTGCGCGCTTGCCTTAAATTTAAGGTAATTAGATTTAAGGTCTCCAGTGGACGTCATCCATAGCAATTACTTGGTGTGGCCGTAGAAAATAACCTGACATATGTCCAACCTATCCTCCCCCTGCTGAAGTTATAGTACAATCCCTCAATGTAACGTCATTTGATCCCATCCCATTATGGGGTTCCCCGGCTATATCCAGCTGTCGGCTGTCTCCAAGCAGATGTAGGTGGGGGATTTCTAAACACAAAAGGTCCTATTACGGGGACATAACGACCTCCACGACTCTCATCTTTGAACTCAATCTTGGAGACCACGACAGTAATATGCCTATCAAATTTCATTAACTTCCATCCACACATACAAAAGTTATCCTGGTCACAAGAAAAATTAACAAAATGCCCCCTGTAGTCACAACGAAACCCCCACGAAGCTCAGTAACGAACTTAACCTTGGTCCCGACAATAGTAAGCACCACACCAAGAATTATAATCAACATTTTACAAATACTTGAGTTATCTTGCTAACAAGCCACAAACACAAAAGGTGCACTAACGTGACGCACGGACCCCCACGAAGCCAAAACTTGTACTTGACTTCGGGCTTAACAGCGGTAATCTGCCTGCCAAAAATCATGGACGTCGAATCATGCCTTCCAGAGTTATATCGCAAAATCCGCAGTTCCCCACACTCCGGCGAGACAATTTCATAGTCCTTCTGACGAAGACAATAAAATCTGAATTTGAATCTATTTCGTCATGCACCAGTCCTAACAATGCACATTATCATACATCCTCCCATCTCCTGCATGTAGGAAGGTTGCCCTTCATGTGTCTTTACTTCACACAATCATCATACTTTCAGTACTGGACACACAGCTCTGACTGGTTCTCTCACAAGGAATCATATTTTGTTGAGTGTATATTGATTCATTTGTTATTCATATTTTTTGTTATTATTTATGTCAGTTCAAATATTTGTTTACTGTTTTGGTACTTCAATTTTGTATAATTGATTGGAAAGTCCAATTCACTTTTTTTTCCTCTATGATTGATTCTGTTTCAAGTTTGTTATAATTTCAGTATGATTTGTATGTTTTATTTATTATTATTGCTAAAAGCAATTATCATTATTATTATTATTATTATTGTAATTTCATTTTATGTTGCTGGACTCCAGGAAGAATAGTATGGAGTGAACTTCCATACTAATGGAGATCTCAATAAACAAACAAACAAACCAGCTGGGTCCTGTACGTCCTTGTAGTTCTGGTTGGATTCAAAGTTGGAGAGTGGAGTACTGCAGGCGGTGGAGTAAGGCATAACCTTGAACCCTCGGTACACCAGACCCTTGTCATGCAGCTGGCGGAACACCCACCAGATGGACTCCATGAACCATGGGTAAAGTGTCTTGTAGTCACGGTCAAAATCAATCCAGCGGCCAAGTCGTGTCACAATATCCTGGGAGGAAAAGCAGAATCTTAACTGTTACATCACATACCGCACAAGAAAATCCAAACTTAACAAGACTGGCAATGAAAACATACATTGCCATGGCGACGGTAGTTGTT